ATAAACTTTATGCAGATAAATTTATTTCATATATGTGTAGTTACTAAGGCTGAGTTTATCATAGCCAACGACTTTTATGACAGAGCTGTAAAATATTCTTCATTCAAGAACAAGATTGTTTTAAATTTTTATGGTACATAAAGTATTGAAAATATCTATTTTTTCCGAATTGTAAAAAATAATCGATAAAGTAAGTTATTAATGTTTCATACTTTCATGTACTCTTCATTAGTTGACTATTCTTATTATTATTATGCATGAATTTTTTTTGATAAAGATCGTACGGATTAGGTAGAAAGCTTTAAGTAGATAATGCATGAATAAATAAAAAATGAGTATAAAAACCTAAGTAAACTTTAACATTAAAATATTCTTTTTTCTATAAAATCAAAAGTATTTTCATTTGTATTAATCATGTTTACAAATGCAGTTGACGACAGTTGTTTGCTATACTGGAATAGTAGCCTATATTTTAATATCAATATTACGGTATTCGAGCGAATGAAAATAATAACTTAAAATTGAGATAAATTACATTATTCTAACGAAACTAATAGAATTTATATTAGCATATTTTGAATAAAAAATTCCAAAAATACTCTTTTAGAAATTGAAATGTGCGGAGTTTTCAATATACAATTTCAAAAAAAACTAAAAAACACACATACACGTATATATTAGATTGAATTTACTTTTTTTTAAAGTTCTATTCTATAAAATAATACAAAAGTACAGTACATTTTCAATAAGTCGAGCAAAGGCTCTTGCTCGACTTTTCCGGCACTCGAACAGGGAATTAAGAGGGCAGTTAGGAAGTCCGATAATTTTCAATTATACTACGATATGAAATTTACTTCTTTTAAAGCTTTTGTTATTATTAATCTTATTGAATTATGATAAATACATTTTTTAAACGAAGATTTTTAAGTTTAAAAGCACTATAACACTAGCTCGAAATTAAAATTGTGTGTAGTGCCATCCGTTACTAGATGCTATTAAAATAACTTTTACATTATTGATTATTATAAAAAAAATTAACTTTGAGGATAGAGATGAGTGTTTAAAAATATTGTAAATACCAATAACAAACGAAAATTTTTCCATTAAGTCCGATCACACTCGAGAGATGACACGAGACTCCCCTCTATCTCTCCACCTTGAGTTCTGTACTATAAAATTTAATAACACGAATGCCTCTTATGTGCGAGTTAACAAGTCAAATTTCGTTTCTGAATTTTTACCCCATTTTGAGATACTAAAAGAAATAGCACGAACACACACATAGTCTACACTGTGAAATTTTTTTCTTGGTTTTTTTTTATTTATTTTTGGATTTAGGATCTCAAAACGTCGAGATTTGCAAAAAACCCGGAGGGTCAAATTTGACACGAATACAATACTTTCCCGTGTTATGTTATAACAGTTGGGAAAGTAAAACACGTCTCACATTTGGTTTATGTTACCGTGCTTCAATTGTTTGAAATCCCGGGCTGACCTCTTTCGCTATTGTGGAGAAATGTAACTTTACAACTAAAGGTTGTAACATTAGCGTCAACAACTACAACATAATATACACGGGATGTATTCCCGTAAGAATATCGATTGTTTGTCACCTATTACAATTGGTGATTCGGTATTGGTTAATGATCGACTGGTGTTCCTGATCCAATTAGAACACATCAATAGTAAAAGAGCTGGCGAACAACTCGTTTAGAAAGAGTTCGAATGAGTTCGTTTAGGAGATATTATTGTTTGGTGTGAGCACCTGAAGACAAGCAGTCAGAAGAGAATTATCTGAAGGGATCAATCCGAATACGCGGGACCATCGAACAACGGTAAGAACCTCATAACTGTGAATACAATACAATCATTTAAAATTAAAATTAAATTACAACTAATTAAAAAAATAAATACAATAAAAAATTTTAAACTTCTTTATTGTTAATAAATTAATTATCAGAAATATGATTAAGTTTTTACACTCATTTAATGAAGCTAGAATGTACGAATTCGATGTAAATTATATTAGCGCTTATATTAGTAATTTAAGAATAATAGTGATAAAATTTTATGATAAAAATTACACTGTAATGAATCTACAGTGATAATAATTCCAAGAATTTATCTATAAAAAAAGTATTATCAAAAATGTAAGTAAAATTTAACTTAAAAATAATTATAAGGTAAAATCTTATTTAAAAAAAAAAAAAAAAAAAAAACGGAAAAGTCTCAAGATAAATGCAAATCTAAGAATTATATTGTTTAAATAAAATTCTTAAAAACATGCATAATTTTTTAATATAAAAATTCTAATCGAAACAATAATTTGAAAAAACATAAACGCGAAAAAACAAAATTAGAAACTTTTTACTTTTAAGATGAAATTTCAAATCTATTTTCTCTCTCTTGTAAACACTAACAAAGAAATAAAATAAAAACCTAACGCAAGAACAAGAAGAAAACAATTTAACTCGGTATACATCACGTACTGTACAGTACAGTACGACACGTAAACGTGACTGAAACAATTACAAAAGAATACAAATAGAAAAAATTGCAGTGTAGTTCATTATGGACATAAAAATAGAAAAATATGTATAAAAAGAATAAAAGATATGACCAAATAAATAAACAAAAGCAAATTAAAAGCATCTGCAAAACTTAAACAGAAATAACGTGGACAAGAAACGACAAATATGAGATGTGGTTATCATTTATGTGTTTACACTTGTTATATGATACAGAACAGATAGGTAACAATAAATTTTTTAAAACCTTTCTATAGATATCAGAAATATTTTATTTTATTTTTCCATTATTAAATAAAAATTGCGAATTATATAATGCGTATCATGTTAAAAAAAAACAAATAAAAACTTTATTTAAATTCTGTTTAAAATTCTCGCATATCGATTTATTGATCTATGTGAATTTATATTTATATAAAAAAAATGAAGCAGTTGCCTTTTGTTTCTTTCTAGTAGAACTAAAATTCTATAAGATCTGTGTTGATAAAAAAAAGCAGTGAAACTGCCAGTCCACCATTTTGAAGTATTAATAACAAATAGGCAATTGGAAAAGATTTTAAAAATTCGAAGAATATAATTACCGAAGATAGCAATTAAAAGAGGAATGTTTATACATACAAATTATTACACATATCAATGTAATTGATTTACATATTGACCAGCAGTGTTTACTAAGGTTTCTTGTGGCCTTCTGTCATCGATATTCTAATAAATTAAATAAGAAATTTAAAAACTCCAACGAGCTGCTTAACTTAAATTTTGAAGCTAGAGATGAATTTAAAAAAAAAAGTATGTAAATGCTAACAAAAATTATTATGATATTAATGCCGGGCTGCAATTTTTAATCATATTTTTAATTTAAAAGATATGATCTGGTAAATTATTCCTGTCTTGCCCCTGTACGTCATACTTTTCCTGGCAACAACAGTGTCATGCCAGTCATCTATGCAACTCCGTTCTGGGGAAATTTTTGAATTGAAATCACGTGACTTCCAGTCTATACCGGAAGTTCTTGTAAAGTTAATTGTGGCTTCCTGCCCGTAAGTTGTTTTTATATCTGGTCTCGACTTTCATCTGTCTAACTCTGTTATCGAGATTAAGGAAGAACGACAGTTGGAATTTATAGGTTTACAATTTCTTCAAATTGAAGTCTTATAATGAATAAAATCTTCATTATGTCCAACTCCACTCGAGATATGACACATAACCTCCCCTCTATCTCCCCACTCCCTCGACCTTTAATTACCAAAATTTTATATTATCAATCCCCGAATATACAGGCTTCCCTGCAAAATTTCAGAAATTTTCGAAAACGATACGGGATTTATTAAGATTTACAAAAAATATATTTCTTGGTAGACTATACATACTGGATATGAATATTTCATTCGGTCCTTTCACCGCTGTTGAGGTAATAACTATTCCACGGCGGAGTCGACCTTTTATTGTAGTCTACTCGTCCATCAACCAATGCAAAAAGTTAAAATAGTTCTCTAGCGGTAGCATAATGATAAAATTAATAAATACATTTTTAAAAAATTGCCAGGACGAATTTAGATTTACAAAAAATTTTCATTATTTATTATTTTAACTTTTATTATTTATTATTTTAACTCTTACAATAACTTTAGTGAGAGCCGCTGAGGTAGACAAAGAAATAGGTAAAAATAAAATTGTTGGTTTGTTGTGAAACCGTGTTGTAATATATTCTTTAGAAGTGTTGAACACTAGATCGTGTTTTTAAACCATCACATGGCTTATTCTCCACTTTTTATTAGTTGACTAATAAAAGGTGGAGAATAAGCAATGTGATTGTTTAAAAACACGATCTAGTGTTCAACACTTCTAAAGAAAATTGTTCTTTACAAAATTTAAATATATACGTATAAGAAAAAAATAAAATAAAAAATAGAACACACACACACACACACAAAATATATTAAGAAAAGACTTTAACTTAATTAGCCGTTTGGATTTTTTCATGTGGTTAATTAACATACAGTATTAATTTTGTTTAATTTATTTGCAATTTTGCTTCTAATATTTTTTTGACATGAAGTTTTGTTATTACATATGTTTTACATGGTTTGTTTATTTCAACATTCTAACAAGAACTTTTTATTTATTTCTTTTTACATGACTACATTTGTTAATTATTTCTTAAGACATTTATTACAAAGGTACTAAGAAAATAACAGTTTGCCTTCACTTAGTTTCATTTATTGAAAAAATCTCCAAAAAAACTACTTTTTACATTGTAATTGTTTCTTTTAATTCAATTTTATTCAAAAATATTCATTTTTTTATTAAAGAGTTTTTATAAATGTAAGTAAGTTTACTCTACGATTTATAAAAATAAATTCAACTAATGCACTAAAGAAAAAAAAACCAATATAATTCAGCAATAAAATTTCAATATGCATTAAAATTATCTAAATATAAAAAGATTTAATAATAATAATAAATTCTTACTCGATTTTTCGTCCATTAAAACAAAGTTTTTCTCTTCTGAAAATACATTTTTACTATTTAAATTGAAATGATTTTCTGTAATTTAAAATTAATTTTTATTAAAATTAATTAACTATTTAAAAACTTATTTAAATTTTTAAAATAGAATTAAATATAAATTTATTTAATTAAACAGGTGATAACAGTGTTAACTTTTTTAAAAAAAATTGTATGTCTTTATAAAATAGGCTGCTTATGATAATAATTAATATTCAAATTTAAAAATTGATAATTTTAAATAAATTATTGTTAAATAGAATTATAAATTATGCAGAACAGAAAGTTATAACACAGATTAATGAGGTAAGAACTCGTTAAAATCTTACTTTTATTCATCAATTAAATAAGTTTAAAGTTTATTTTAATATCATATAAATATTAATATAATCTAAATTTCAATCATAACTCATATATTCAGTATATAATTTTAATTATAATTATGAAAAATTTCTAATGAATGTATAAAATTATACAGTAATTAATTTAAATATTGATTTAGAATTATAATTTCCATATAAATAAATTTCTATAACTCTATAGAAAATTTGCATATTGTCTGCTGTCTAACTCAATTTGTTTGCATTTAAAATTGGCTTTAAAACGAATGTGGCGCTAAACTGAAGAGCCTCAAACAATCAAAATCATGAATTTAGTAAATGTCCACTCACAAGTATTCTGTTAATGCTACATATAAGTTAATTTCTGAATATTTCTCGGATATAATTTTAAAATTTATATAAAATATACGTTCTTATAAACTCAAAATTTGTAGCTACTTAAAATTTATTTACTGAAATATGAACTAATAATATAAGTAGTTACAATTAATTATTATAAAAAATACTTTGTAAATCTAACTCAAAAAATTTCATTTATTCAAATTTTATAAAATGTGAAAAATTTTTTAATTTTTGAATTTTTTTAAAGTCGTTATCTCTCTACTCTAATAGGAAAACACAAATGTTAACGACGTTAAAGAATTCAAATGATAACATTGGAAACTGTCGATTATGCGTCGCCTAAGGATAATCAAGAGTTGTCATTTAGCAAAATGGGAATGGTACTTAATAGCAAATTGTTCTTTATACGACCACACTAATCACACTTATTTGTAGAAAGTTAATGAAACATGCTGCACGACAAGAATAAAACTTACGCTTGTGTGATTCCGTAAAGGTCTTACGAAGAATGAAGGTTTTGAAATTTCCATAACGTTTTTTTCTATCGAAATAATTGATGAGATGCTAGAAGCAGAAGGAATAAAAATCGAAAAAATTATAGATATATATAGCTATATATATGTATACATATATATACGGACGAATATATATTACAAATAAGAAAAAAGTTCTAGGTCTATGTATTATTCAAAAGATGTCAAGTTAAGAGCAATATTTTCCTTGTTATCATAAATTACTTTTTTAAGCAGAATACTTACTGAAGAATCTTGGCATTCTGACGGAAGACAAGGGACAACAACAGAAATTTTTCTTTGTTTTCTCAAACCCAGCACATTTGTTTGCTATAAAATTTAATTAACGTCGGTTTTTTATTGTCATTTTCTTATAATTACGTTTTTCCGATTACCATTTTTCTTTATTAATACTACTTAGATGCTGTTTAACTTCTTATCGCAATTATTTTAGTATTTAATTTTTTTTAATATTTTCAAAGTAATTAATATACTATTTTTTGGTAAATTTATTACAGTTTCTAAAAATTTAATCGGCTTTATTAGAATGGATTATTTCCTTTGAAAAAATTATAATTTACTTACGCATATAAACGCGGCTAGTTCTTCTCTCTTTGAGCTACTTTCGGAACCATATAAATAAAAATTAGTAGAAAAAATATTTGATCTGAAAAGAGAGAGAAAAAATAATTCTTAATTAAATTTTTTAAACTAAACCATGCTTGCATACTAATTTCATTTAGAATTTAAATTACAGTCTGATTAAAAAAGAACGGTAAGAAAATCCCGTAAAGAAAACATCGCTGTGACTACAAATCAATATTTTTTATTGTAAATTAATCGAAACTTCAATCTTAGTATTTTAAATTCGCTATGCTACAAGAAAATTACGAAATCAGTTAATAAACCACATTTATTAGATAATTGCATAAGAGCATATAAATCATAAATTTTTTTTACATTGTATCTTTCGGATGTAACAGGAATTTAAAAAATTCAAAAAATAATATTTATAAATATTAAATTATTAATTCTTTTCATTCAATATAGATGAAATCTCATTATAGATTTTTTTTACAGTATTCTTCTTTAGTTATCTCTCTGTTTGTTAAGTTGGAAAAAGAAGATTAGTTCAAAATCTTCTACGATCCCAAATGTTTTCCTTAATCACCTAAAACTGCTATAAACAACAATAGATTTCTATTGTAGTTTCGTTTTTCTAGTTAATAATAAATAGTTTCTATTTTCTAAATCTCTTTTATACAGAATTATAACATTAAATGCTTATATAATTAAAACGTAGTCCTTAAAACGTAGAACAAAGCTATAACCGTTATATAAAAATATAAAATAAAAGAATTCATTCCATTGAACAAAGACTTTATAAAAAAAAGGAAAAAGTAGATTTCTTTGAAAAAGATTTTTCCACGAAATATTTTTAGTTTTTTAAGCCTTCTCTAAATCACTCTGATATAAAAGTTTTTAAAGAACACACAGAAAAAGCATTGAAAGAGACAATAATTTAGAACAAGAACTATCTCTACTAATTGGACAATACCAAACTATTTACAGAGCAAAATGTTGAAAATCTAATAATCACGACAGCTATGAAAGAAAATAGTAAATAAAAAAGATTCCATTTTATAAATGGATCTTTGTCAATTATATCAGATTTCAACCAGAAAGTATACAAAAACACTAGTTAAAAGTAAAGTTCTCTTAATAATAAGTTGGTAATATAGCCTATATATTCATAATAGAATTTATATTATAAATTGATATAAAAGCATAAACAGATGATCTTGTATTCACATTCATCTATATGTAAAATATGCTTTAATTAATATAGTATCAATAATAAAATCACCAAAAATAATCTACATACATTCATGCTCAGATAGACTTAACCTTCCACGTAATTTCATCTTTTCCTGCTTTTCTGTCAAGATTTATACATTAAGTTATAGTTCATTGTATAGATCATTGCCCAAAAAAATAAATAAATTCTTTTTCATACTCCGTCTTAAAATTTATACCTAGAAAAAAAGCGAACTAAGACAAAAATAAGAAAGTATAAAACACAAGCTAAAAAATCTCTAAACGGTTGTAAGATATTTTTTTTATATTTTGGGTAACTTTTTAAGTTATGTAAGTATTGATATCACGTATCATGTATAATTATGGAAACGATTTTTTAAACTCTACTTTTCAGTATTTTTTATTACACTAAATATTTAATATGCTTTAATATAAAACACTTAATTTTTAAATTTGCTTGTATTGTTTATTAAACAAAACTAAATTATTTTAAATTAAATTATACTTTTGGAAAATTCTATAAAACTGGAGAACATGATAAAGCAAACAGAAAATATACCGAATTAAACGTAAGAATTATACAAATTATATTTGCTTAATTTTATAATAAAATTAATATTCTCTTTCACAAAAAGTGCAGTAAACGTTATCTCTTAAACAATTTCGAATGCTTCCATTTTTACTGAGTGCGATAAGATATTCTTTAGGCCTTTTTGAGCTGATTCTATCATTTTCATATCCTCTGTTTTAATTACTCTTACACTTTCTTGGATAAGATTTTAGTATTTATTTCTCGTCTTAAATCCATTTTATGGCATTCGTATAAGTAATTATAGGGCCATTTCAAATTGATAACTACAATTGTACAAAATCCATTTATGAATAACCTAACAAATGTTGTAATTGAGTTAAAGGCATCGTCTTATTATGATTATTAATTTTATGTTAGCAAATAAAAAGTAGGATTTCTGTTAAATAAAATTAATTCGTAAAAATCTTGATATCAATTCTATAAGCTGAAATTAAAGAGATGATTATAAACAAAGTATGGCGGTATTAAAATAACATTAAACTGAAAACTGTTATTTAATTTTTGCATTTTTTATTAAAATCATAAATCATACATCTTTATTAGACGGAAGAGATGCAGATTTTCACAAAATAAATGTAAAGCATAAATGAAACTGACATTCATTCAAAACAAGAAATAATTTCTGTATTTAAATATAAACATTAAAAATAATTAGCTAATTCTCTTCTCAATAATAATAAAGTAGTAACAACAGCAGTTTATTAAATTGTAGTCTGAAAAGTACTACAGAATTTACTTTTACAAAGTTCTTTCGCAAGATAAAAAATACAAAATAAAAATTTTTTCATTTCCCCTCATAAAATATCCCTCTAACATTTATTTTATATATTTTTATATCATGTTTATGTACGAGTTAGCTATAAAGTTTAAAATATGGTAATTCGAGATGTAAAATAAAACAATTAAATTTATATAATTACAATTCTAAACTAAATTCTATGCACTAAATGAGTAAAATAAAAATTACTTCTTTCCAATTATTTACGTCATTTCACGAGAAAACTACTCCATAAACAATCACATGATCAATGTACAGTACGAAGAATGAAATGCACTGTTATAAAGATTTATCTCTTCCGTAAAATTAAAATAAAATTTATTAAGCAATTAATAACACCCATGCTTTATTTATTATCCTAGTAATCAGGATTATTTGTGTTAGAATTTTTAAGTGAAGTAATAAATAAAGAAATCACGTGTCTTTAAAAGACGAAAATTAACCCTTATCGATTTATTATATTAACTTCCTCAGTTGGAAATTAAATATTAATTTTTTCTCCACAATTTATCTCTTACAAGATACTCAAAATAAAAATATATTTTCTTTTTTTAACAACCAACTATGTATATATTAGATTATCGAATAAAAGATTCATATCTTTTATCTCACAACCGATATCTATAAGCGTTTTCTCTGGCAAAATTCCAATAAACTAACATAATTTTGGAGTTTCACTGATGATAAAAGTGTTTACTTTACATTTTCAACAATTGTTAGCTGTTCCTTTCACATTCTTCGCTATGAAATTTAATCATAAAAGTTGCTACAATTTCTAGAGTATGGTTTAATCTTCAAAAAAGTTTGCAAAAGTTTGATCGTATTTGCAAAATAGCGAATAGCAAAAAGATTAATAAAATAAAAAATGTTTTCACACTGCTTCACATCATCAGTGCTCATACTCGTCTAGAATCATAGAAGCGTATATTTATTGATAAAACTAGCAGAATTGCAAGTATTTCGAGTGACAACAATAATGATCGATGAATTTCTCTCCACAAATTACACGTAACTATTTGCTTGATTTACTTAATAAATATTAAGGAAATCAAGCAAAATTCATTCATTTTTTAAATACTCATTTAAAAAGAATGAATGAAAATAAATTATAATGACTTTTTATGTGAAAATTAAAACACGAAACTAATATTTTAATTATCTGTTTTAATTTTTACTTTACCTAATCATTTTTCGAATTTTTATCGACAGAAAGGAGAAATTACTTTTAAAAACAATTTTATTCGCCTTTTATCACTGATTGGTTCTTAGCCCTAATCAAATAATCCTACTTTTATAATTAACTTTTATTTTAAAAATAAATCTACGTCTTCATCAAGCAGTTCTTCTTATTGTTCATTTTAAATTCAAATCAGCTAATCAGATTAGAGGAGGGTGTGGTTTAATTAACATGTAAATTTCGTTAACCAATCAAGTAAAAAAAAGAACATGCTTAAGGTGGTTATTGATTATATAAACCAATAGACATGTGTTAACATAATTTTAATCATCCAATAAACGATCGATAAACCAGTTAATTTAGAAAGTGTATTAAATATAGAAATTATATTACATTACATTATCTATTACATCTTTGGTATACTTATATTAAAATATCGAATAAATTTATTGTGCTTTTATTTATTTAATCTGTACAATGAAAGGAAATAGTAGTAATGTCGAAAAGTTATTATTTAGATGACTTTCAACTCCCTGGAGTAATTTCATAAGTTTATACCAATTCGTATAAATTTGATATCAATGTGAGTCTATGTTTCATACTTATACATAAACGTATCATTGTTGTCTTTATCTCAATTTGAAAATACAAATAAAATAAATTTATTACTTGCATAACTGTAAAACCTGTAACATTGGTTTCAAGTTAAACAAACGATGAAATATGAACCAACATATCTCCATTTTATTTCTATCGATTTAATGCTAAGTTTTGCAAACAAAAAGTCATTACAATCTTAAGTTTGTATTTTATACTATAAAGTTATANGTATATATTTTATTTTTACAGTTTTACTTAAAACTATTTTATTATCTGATTAATCAAATAAAATGACACGTATTTTAGTATATCTTTAAGAATTGAAAAGTTATGTTTTAATTTTATAATGAGATATAATTGTTCTAAATCTACATGAAACTCAAATTATTTTTCCACAGTTTTTATATTTATTACATCATATCTGTTCGACTTATATAGGCTGTAGCTACTGTACAGTACATACAGTAGTACTTTATACATTAACTTTTCCACAGTTTTTATAGATATTACATCATATCTGTTCGACTTATATAGGCTGTAGCTACTGTACAGTACATACAGTAGTACTTTATACATTAACTTTTTAAATTTGTTTTTTAATTAATGTTGTAAGTATCAATGCAAATTATAAATTTACATTAATTCCGTACATGGTAAACACGTTCTTCAGAAAACAAACTTTTTACAAACTTCGTCACTGTAGTAGGCTATATTCAATTACTACCAATCAGAAGAATAAAAGAAATACTGGAATATATTGAGATTTTAAAGGATAAAATTCAATTGTGAGTCTGTACAAACGAAACAGAGAATAAAAATTCTTAAAACTTTTCCTTTCTCTTTGTTTCGTAACTTAATCTGAACTTTTCCGTTTCAAAACTACATAACACCACTTAACAACATGTCGGTTTACTTCAAAGACATCATCAGAATGAAACGGTTGCCTAACGTTTTATCGATCTCGGCAAACTATTACGTACTTATAATTTTGTTTAATTTCATTAACAACTCAAAATACACAATTAGTTTCACTGCCTAAGTCCTAATTTGTATAAAGTACCTAGGAATTTTGAAATATAAATTCCAAAATCCGTAGGCACTTCGTACAAATTAGAAGTAATTATCTTGATACAATAGTTCCATCATTTATATTAAACATTATTAAAGTATCACTGACTTTATACCTATTTAAATGCAGATTAGTAAGGCTTCACCTATCTCTATTTATCTTCAATTGTCGACTTTAACAGGACTTCTATTCAGATGAATGAAACTAGATTTAATTCGTTATCTGGTGTTTATTTTAAGCTTTTGCTTAATGTGTATATTTTAGGAGTTTGAATACTACATTTAACTCAAATATCCGAAAATTTAGCTTAAAGTTCTTAAAGTAAATGAAATTAATGAAAAAAGAAACAATTACGATCCTTGTAAAAATAATGAAACAAAACACACTGTTATAAAACTCCATATTATTTTAATCATAAAATCTTTCTAAATTTATTATTCTGAAATTTCATTATTTTTTGTATTATCGTCATATTTTAAGAATATATTAATTCTTTAAACATTATAAGATTTTCAAAAAGAATCATAATATTAAAAATTGTTTTAATTTGTTAATTATGCAATATATTTATTCCCTAAACTTTTCAAATTAAATTGTTTTTATTTAAAAATTTTTAGTTTTTACAGCTTTATGAACTAATTTTTATTTATGAAATCATTAGTATTAAAAATAGGTTATAGAATTGTTTTAATTTTAAATATTTATAAAAATATAAACTTCAAACTATAAATATCTGATATAATATTTGAATTATTTAGTAGCATCTAATAACAATTAGCTTTAAATTAACTTCCAATTATAAATCACGTCTCAAACAAAAATCGACAATAAAAATTATGCAGTTCTAAAAATAAATTTTTATTTTTAATTTATTACTGCAAATTTAAAAATAAAACAATTTGCAATTTATTATTGCAAATTTTTTATCTTCAAAACAATTAATATTTCCCTATTAAATTATATATTTCTAAGCGTTTAAAGCAATCTAGAATTATTTATTAGGCCTATATTTTTTCATTGATTGGAGGTTAAAGGGATTTTGAAAAAGTAAATAAATCTTAAAACAGTAATTTTTAATACCACTTATTAATATAGAAATGTTTTGATGTAAGTTATGGATTTATAACAGTAAAAATTACATCATTATAAATTTAAATTAGGTATTATTATATCTTTTGATAAGAGTTCATTTAAAAAGACTCAATTTTCAATAAAAAATAAATAAATAATGAATTATAAAAAATCAAAGAAAGAAAAAACTTCATCCCCAGAAAAGAAGTCTCTCATCCTCGAGAATGGTCGGTTAGAGCCATTATCTTAAAAGAAAAAATTGAAAATCTAGCAAAATATTTATATTATAATAATGCATTTATTGTCAAATTTAATAGCAAATGTTAATTTAGTAAAAGCTAATATAACTTCTAATTAGTTTTTTTTATTATCAGTACAACGTTCATAACATGAAATGAAGTTATTTAATCACTTAATTACATTTAAATTTTAAATTTATGAATCCTTGTATATTGTAGTTGTAATTCATTGAATTGTAATTATTCGTTTAATATAATTACTATTGTACTAAAATTCATTTACATGTTTATTGGAAATTCATGCACAGATATATTATAGGCTATTATGCAGAATAAATATTTAATCTTACATTACACGATTTTTGAATAAATTTTAAAAGTGTGTGTTTTAATATATACAATTTATTTTTTAAATATATAACGATGTATTAATTAAATCTATACTTTAACTCAGTGTTTTTTAACCTTCTTGAATACGCGACCCCTTTACAAGTTAAAAAATTCTGGCGACCCCCCTAGGGTCATATTAAAACTATATCAGTGATTTTAAAAACTATGTATTTAATTTTCTTTCTGTTGAGACAAATTATTGTTGATTAAAATGAAAATTTCGGAAGAATCGACAATAACATAACACATAAAGTATGAAACTTCCTTTAATTATAATATTGGGCACAGGGAGCTGTTGACCTTTTTTTTTGTTTTAGGATCAGAATTTTCAGCTTTTACTTTTCTACTTTTTATTTCTTTTTGCAATTCAGCTCAACACTTTTTCGGCTATCATTTTCTGGGGTAGGCCGTAATTCTCGCTGAAATTGTAGTTTTTTTAATGCAGTGTAGGACCTACAAACACTTGTCTTTCTCTTTTACCCGCGACCCCCGTGTAAGGCTTCGCCACCCTCTGGGGGTCGCGACCCACAGATGGAAAAACACTGCTTTAACTTATATTATATATACTTTAAGATATATATATATATATATATATATATAGACTATATTTTACGAGTTAAAACAAAAAAATGAATCATAAAGAGTAATAAAATACATTATTACTTTTTATGATTTATTAAAGAAACAATAGTAACAGATGGTCAAGACATAAGAATGAAATTACTTACTTCAATATAGCATAACTAGAAGAATTCATATCTACAGGATCTGTCGATATAATATGTGTAGTTGTCGTTTTACTTTTGGATACTAACAGGATCACCTATCAACATGACATCCGATGAAACGTATGATTTACAATTAAATTGTCAACAGTAATTTATACAATATTTTATAGAGCCTATAATTTCTATATTACAAAATAATTTTACCTTGCATCCTTCTTTATTCGAATGTAACAAAGAATAATTTCCGTCTTTTTTATGTGACACAAATGTGCAGCAGATGGTACCAGAAAGACATGGAGTTCTCGCAATCGTCCACGATTCATTTAATTGTTCCTAGTGTTTTGAGTTTAAATATTCAATAAAGTTTATTTAAAAGGATTTAATTAACACAATTTCATAATTGAGTTATATCTTTGGGGAATGAATGTATATTTAAATTAAAAATTAATTTTTATCAATATAACAATCTTAACGTTAAACTCAATTTTTTAATTTAAATTTCAGATAGAATGTTTTACATTAATTTAAAAGATTAAAATATTTAATCTTTGTTCTAGAAGTACAGAAAAGTGCAAATTTTCGCTGCGGAGATTAAATTAGATAATTCCTTAGATTTTAAGTAATAATTCAAAATTTGTCGACTTTACTTCTAAATTAAATTACTTTGATAAAGGGGAGGCATTTATTGTTCAAGGGACATCGCCTTTGCACGCAATAAAAAATAAAGAATAATTTCTTGGATTTAAAACAGATTACTATTCTTTAGTTTTAGACGCTTTAAAAATTCATTTTTATATAAATTTTTATATTTGTAAATGTTTATTTCATCGTAAAATTATACTTACGTATAAATTATCAAATTTTTATAGCAAATAATTCACATGATAAAATCTGTTAGTATATTTAATCTTTTAAAAATATTTATTTAATTAATCGGATCCAAAATTAATTCTTTAATTATAGAAAGGATTTAAATAATTCATTTTTGAAAGTTTTTACCTAAGAAATTTACACACAGTATATAGGCCTGTAGTTTTTACTTAACTAAAGGACTATTTGACTAAGGAAAAATTTTATTTTTCCTCCTTTTATCAAGCTTAACTTCCTGGTGGATTTAAACAAACACAATTAGTGTATGAGTAAAATCTTTTAAAGTAAAATGTATAGAAGCGGACGATACAGATCTGACTCGAAGGCATAAGCAATTAGTATGAAAGCTCAGATACTTCAGTTAAAAATTCAAAAGAAAAACAAAATAAAACTTTGAAGTTAATTCAAAGAATAATTCTGAATCTTAGCTACATTATTTAAAGTATCTTTTCGTTTAAATATTTAAACTATTACTTTTAGAGAACTCTTCAACCAATATTTTCTCACTGAACAAGCTTTCTCACTTAATTATTAAACAGCAGGATCAATTTAATTGCGATCTTTGAACAGGAAATTAAGAGATTTCCAGTTTAAAGCATTAAAGTTTTATTTTTTAAATTATTTTCTAAAACATATTCGGAAAAGTTCACCAATCTAAAACAAATATATATATATATATATATGCTGTTAAGTGCCATAAGTTTTTCTTTTTTTTTTTCTGAAACATTTAATGTGTCGTATCATAATCGTTAATGGTTCACTCTCATGGTGCTGTGAAGTCATTATTAAAGAGAATGTAATAAAAATACTCCAAAGAAAGTTAAATAGACAGGTGGCATTAATGATTTATTGATTTTTAAATTTGTAATTCATCATTGTGTTTCTAAAGCGACAAATCCAAGTAGTCAAACATAAAAGGAAAAGAGGAAAAAATCAAAAGTAAAAAAAAATACCTTTCTTTCCCTCTGAATTGATTAATATTACGAAATTTTTTGATGCTATTCTTCATCTAATCAAGTAAAAATGCTTAAGGATGTTGGAAAAGATTAATATAAAAAAATACTTTAAAAAATAAAAGGAAATTAAGATTTAATTCAAATATGCTACGGAGATTATTCAAAAAGATTTTTTTTACTTTAATCAAATGTTTTTGTAAAAGTACGTCTCGTATTAAAAAAATAATAAAAAATAACAAGAAATTCCATCGAAGTACAGTCATACAATTGAAATAAACATATTTGTGTTGAGTACCGAATAAAAATTGATCTTTCGACTTTGTATCCTTGAAAAAAGAATAAATTTACATCAAAATGTCATAAAAGTAAAAGAGAACAAAATTTTGTCTTTTCTGGATTGATATCGTTGAACGAACGCGTGTTACATGCAATACACGTGTTCAACATAAATTATATTGAACCATATTCATCAAATCGGATGTAAGTCGCATTACATTTTATGAATAATTTTTATGTCACAATATATTTATTTTCCAGTAAATCTACTTACAAAATATTTTTCTTGAATTTCATTTACCTCGGCATCTTCTGTATTCTCTATTTTAAAAAAGTATTAAAAATTTATATTAAAATAGTCATAAAAATATAAAAACTCATTAATGTGAGCTTACTTATTATGTTTAATCAAGCAGAAAATTTGATAGATTTTTGCGTAATAACATAAAAATATATATATAAAAAGATTTGAAATTTTAGTTCGTGTTTTTCTTTTTTCCTTGGAAAATAAAATTTTAAGAATTCAAGAATTTTAAGTAAATCAATTTAAAACGATATAAATTTTTCTTACAATCAATCAATTCGGAATTTCTTTCAGTAATGCATAATTAATTTTCAATTTGTTTTACTGCTTTCACATTTATTAGTTGATTTCGTAAGGCGGAATGTTATTTATATTGAAAAAAATAATAATAATCTGTGAAGTAATCTAACAAATTCTCAATTTTTACTTTTAGATATTTAAAATGTTTAATTCATTATCTTTGAAATTAATTTCAATTAATTTCAGTTATGAATAAATATCAAATGCAGGCGTTTTAAACAATGCTGAATGAATTTAATGATTGAAAATGTTGATTTAAATGCGTTTAAATCAACATTTTCAATCATTAAATTTTTAAATTTAAATTCTAATATTTAATAAAATTATTTAATTTATTTTCAAATTTTTAAAGAAACAAACTTAGAAAATTTTAAGTATAATTAAATATTATCTTGAGAAATAACTAAGACGAACATTTTTAACTCCAGTCTAATTATTAATTAATTTGGTTTTAATTACTGTTCTAAAATTAATAATTTAAAATATTTCTAATTGAAATAAATCAATTGTTTGTTTGAAAATCGAAAGTTATTATTATTATTATTATTATTTTGATTTTTTCCAGAATGAAAATTTAAAAAAAAATTTAAATGATTTAAGTAGATTTTTATACTTAACAAAAAAGAATTGCAGAATCACTTTCAAGCAAACTACTTTCATACAAAATATTATTTAATCTTTAATTAGTAGCCTATAGAAAAATAAAAATATTATATAATTTAACTCAATTTATAAAAATTTATTTGCTACGGTAAAATAAAAAAAATTCTACCCAAGAATTCTAAAGTACATTCGAAAATATATTTCTTATATAAGCTTTATTAGATTTTAATGTAATTTTTTTAAAATTTATGATAAAAAATCAAATTTTAAAAGCCTTGAAATTAATATGATAAATGTGAAATATGTTTTTAAACGTACAGTATCCACTAAGCACTCAAATATTTGTTATCAAATAGTGGATATGTAAGGAAACAATCATTTTACTAGATAAATAAACCATTTAATAATGGATTATCATTTAAAATAAATCACTTCTTTATGTCATACTTCAAATGTCTGTCATCATTATACGTATCTTTTCTTCTTGAAATCGTTATTTCCTTTTTTCTGTCCTACATTATATCAATGTCTCTTGGTTTGAGTAGAAACATTAATGTTTTTGTTATTTATATAAATTTTGATTTTCTCTAACAAATGATTTATTAATTTAAATGTTATATTAAATCTTATCAACTTAATAAATTATCTTATTTGCGTTTTTTCCTTTGATGTTTGTAATATAAATACGTATAAAGTAGTAGTGTATTATTAATCACTTTCAAGTTAATAAGTTATAATTCTAGAACACAAACGTCAATTGCAACCTCGTTATTTTTTTCTATCTCTGAAATATTAATCTGATTTAATTTAGATATAAATCTAGCTCTTGGAAATCGAAGTTTTTAAGTTTTCTGACGATAAAAAGTGTTTTAAATTTGCTTAATTTATCAAATATATTTCATAATTAATTAAGTAAAACATTCATTGTCTACGAAGTTTGTATAAAATTTATAAGCAACTTATAGACAGTAGGAATTGTCTAGAGTACGGATCTCACAGGGTCCCTTAAATCGATTTGCGAATTCACATATAAATAAACCAAATTTTAAGTGTAAAGTGAACAATGTGAACATAGTAACATTCGGAGCTTCTCCAACAGAGTCCAGCGGTAAATATAACAAAAATAATATTATTGACTTGTTTTGTGGTTCGGATCTCACCTTTTGCCTAAGGCCTGAAATTTCTTTTATCTTTCATAGTATAAGATATTTTTCGTTTATCTTTGTGTAGGAATCTTTTATAATATTCTAATTTAAAATTCAATAAAAATTATAATGCATAACATATATAAAATGATATAATTTGAATAATTTTATTTTTTCCGAGAAGAAACGTCTATCGATTTGCAAAATAAAAAATTATTTTATTACTTTAGAGTGTAGAAATATCTTTATACAGATATCTAGAATTATATTACATAGAGATATCGTCTATGTATCTTATGACAAAATCAATTCTTTTTTTATTTTTTAATTTTAATCTTCCGTTTTTTGAATTATAAGTAGAAAGCATATTGTTTCTCTTCAGTTTCTATTTCAAGATCTACATCTATTTTCAAAATTGAAACCAAACCAATTTGATATTAATTTTTAAATCTATGATACTAACATATCCAATTTCTATTTTAATATATGAAATTTTGAAATTATTACATTTTAATATAAAAGATTTGTCATTAAAAAATTAATTCTTTTAATACAAAATACTTTAATTTTGACTATTTTATATTAAAAATCTTATCTATAAATTATCTATATAGGTACAGTACTTTAATATAGAAACTATTATATACAGTATTTTTATTTAATATTCTACATATTTCGTTAAAATTTTAATCATTTTTTTATTTTTAATGTTAAAAACTCTATTAATTTTTAAAATATTAAGCTAAAATTTACCAATTAAATGATAATAAATTGAGAAATTAATATTTTATTTGGTTTTCAAGTTGAACTTTTTTAATTATATTAAATGAAATAGCTTAAACTTTCATATCCTGATAGTTTTTTAAGTAATATTGAATATTTTATTTATAATTTTATTCGTTTTGATCCGTTACAAATCGATATGTCGCAAGGGTCTTACGCAGCATTCAATAAATATGAGATCACTACTAACTTAATAAGCATTCCAATACAATAAATTTATTCAGATTTATTTCAACAAATATAGTACAGGTTTAACCAAAAATTTTGAATATTTTAAATAAATTTTAATGAGATATGACTATAGTATTAGATAAACATGGAGAGAACGAACAATATAATGTAAATATTAATTAATAACGGAAAATAAAGTTAGTAATAATAACAATATAATAAACAAATAAAATAACAATAATAATTGGAATACCTTAAAGCGCGTTTATTTCGTCAGAATAATGTACACTTTTACGCAAGTTTGAAGTCTTTCGCATATTTTTTGTAATGGGGAAATGTAACATGACATCAGATTGACGTAATAGTGTACTCTATCCTGACAAAACAAATGCAAGTTTAGTTTTTACTTCAATAGTAAATAAAGAGTAAATAAACAAATAAAATGAAAATAATAATAACTGATGACAGATTAACAATTTAAGAAATTTATGTTATGGTAATATTAAGATATTCTTACAATTTTAAATTAAAATCAAAAAATATCATTTAATTTAATCATTTTACAGTATCAATTGTTTACTTTCACTTTTTAAAACTCTTCGCCTTGTCGGCACTTGCTTTTACTAAGCCCATCGTAGATTTTGAGGCTCACAATGTGGACGGACGGGTGTTAAGAGATGGGCCTCGACATATCTGGGACATGTCCATCCATGAAAAATTCCTGCGCTGTTTTCCTTGATTTGATCCTGAATCCCCCAGAGTAATAGGCTGATATCTTAATCTCGTAGACCATTTGGCCGACCACTGTTTAGTGTTTAGTTTCAATGGCGAATTAAGACCTTTCAGGTCCTAGGCACAGAAGATTGAATGATCTAATTTTAGAGATTGCATATCAAATTTATAAATTATTCTATTAAAAAGATAAAAAAGATTTTTTTTCAATTTCAGGCTCCCGTGACACGAATCCCTAAGGAATGTGTTTCACGTGCAAAGTGGACAATCCAATAGGCTACTATTTAGTTTATACTAAAAACGTTAAGTAGGATGATCTAAATAAATAAATAATCCAATAAACAGTGACGAAAATTATTGATGTTATTTTAAAAATTTAAGCAAATAAATCGATTAATTTTTCTTTTCACTTCAAATCGATTAATTTTTCTTTTCACTTTCCTCCACTTTGTTCAAAGCGCAAATAACTGACAGCAGTTTTCTCTTGATAACAGGATTATTTCCGAGAATTTTCAAAAATTTTATCTTTAAATGTACACAAAATATTTCACATGCAAACAGAGAATGCAAAAACAATATACAGATTCTTTGTAAGTAACTGGAAACTTTGTAATTGAAGATTTTATGCGTAGATTATAAATGTAAGTTTTTACATATACAACAAAAGTTATGACCTCCAGAATCTTGTTAAAACAGTACTAGAAATTCCTTTGAAAATAAGAATTTCCCAGCTTTTTCTTTATAGTAGTCGCATCACATTGGCTTGAAGTTATATTAATGAGTTATTGCAGCAATGTAGAAATTTATGGTATTATGTAAAATTAAATAAAATAATATTAAAGAATTTTTGCAGATGTCTAGGTCTAATTTTAATTGTTTTTCGTGTTTTGATCAAAGTCTGTCTTATATAATCTTTGCTTGACGTATTATCTGTAAACGAATTATTTCATTTAATGAAAATAATAAATTTTCTAATTATATACAAAATGAATGATGCAACCTTTCAAGAAAAAAATTCTATCTTTTACTCCGTAGTATCTTATTTCATTGTATTTGACTAAAAATCATGGGCGTAGCCAGAGTTTTGTTATGGGGGGGCCTAGTGGAGGCCAACCTGACACAAAATTGAATTATTTCAAATTATTGTTCATTATTGGGCACCGAGCAATCCGTTCACCATTTTTTAGTATTCAAAACTTTTATTTTAGCTTTAGGTTTTTACAAATCGACTCAACACTTTTTCGGCTGTGATTTCCTGGGGAGGGCACCAGGTTCCTTGGGAGGGGCCGTGCCCACCCAGGCTCCCCCCTCGCTACGCCCATGCTAAAAATAGAAGATAAACAAACTTCAATCTATTGCTTTTTCAAAATTTTTTTATACTATTCATAAAACAATTCAATAATAATACTTGTTTTTCTAAAATACATCTACAGCGTATTTATAGGACCTTTCTATAACTAAAGAGGACAATATTTCATAAAACCAAATGGAAAAGACAGAACTTTATTTCAGCTTGATAATATTGAAGAACTTTTCCTGATTAATTTTTTTCTATTATTTATAAAGCTTTGTATTTATATTATTTATTAAAATCTTAAGAATTACATTCTTACGAGTTATAGCAAATACAATATAACTTATCAATAAACATCCAGGATATATCTGTTAATAATATTTTATTTAAATATTAATTATTAATATAATTAAAGAATCATTCAGTTAAAACATATTTGAAACATTTAGTTTGTATAATCTTAATTGAATGGGTGAGTGGACAGTGGTAGGCTTATATAACAAAACAGTTTTCTTTAATAAAAATATTAAAAAATATGAATTTGAAAATGAAAGAATAATATAAATGTAAGTAATATGCGAGTAAATATATCTGTTTATTATTTAATTTAATAAAATATGATTTTTTAAGCTAATATTAAATTTTATTACTAATATATTCAAGTTACAGTTTTTGTCTCTTGCACCACTTTTCCACTAAACACCTCAATTCATCCTGTAAAGTATACCTGAAATCACTTCATAAAAATTTATTTTTAAAATACAAATTAAATTTAAATATGATCTTACCAAAAATAACATTTTTTTTTACAATTTTTGTATTACAAATACTGTACTGTAGGCCTACATAAATTTTATTAAAGATTTTCGTATTAAACAACTTTCATATTTTTATGAGAATATCTGAATTAATTTGTCATAAATTCATTCAAAGAATATGCTTTAAATAATTTATATAAAATTATAATTTCCATGAAATCTAAATTTTCTTTTAAATTTTTCATCACATTTGAGAGAGTTATACTTTAAAATATCTTCAGTAAGAGTCATTCAAATATATTCAAGACATGTGCTAGACTTATTACAGAGAAGAGTAAAATATACAGGATATTAAATTACGTCATACTCTACATTTGAAAGAAATTACAGTCTTCAGGAAACAATCAATATCTGATTATCGAAGGAAATATATCAGACACGTCATCTAAAATTATCACGTTATAGATTCAATCATTCACTTCTCTAAAATTGATATTAGAAAGTGAATTTCCCCTTTAAACAGTTTCCGGCATGAATAAATCAGAAGTCAAGATGTTGAAATTTAATTTTGCGTTTTTCAAATTTCAAAAATACACAAAACTAAAATTGAATAAGAATTGATGATCTGATAGTTTACGTATAATTTCAATATGTATTATCAAGTTTATAAATTTTATACGTTTTCTTCAAAATTAAAAAATATATATATATATATATATGCTGTTAAGTGCCATAAGTTTTTCTTTTTTTTTCTGAAACATTTAATGTGTCGTATCATAATCGTTAATGGTTCACTCTCATGGTGCTATGAAGTCATTATTAAAGAGAATGTAATAAAAATACTCCAAAGAAAGTTAAATAGACAGGTGGCATTAATGATTTATTGATTTTTAAATTTGTAATTCATCATTGTGTTTCTAAAGCGACAAATCCAAGTAGTCAAACATAAAAGGAAAAGAGGAAAAAATCAAAAGTAAAAAAAAATACCTTTCTTTCCCTCTGAATTGATTAATATTACGAAATTTTTTGATGCTATTCTTCATCTAATCAAGTAAAAATGCTTAAGGATGTTGGAAAAGATTAATATAAAAAAATACTTTAAAAAATAAAAGGAAATTAAGATTTAATTCAAATATGCTACGGAGATTATTCAAAAAGATTTTTTTTACTTTAATCAAATGTTTTTGTAAAAGTACGTCTCGTATTAAAAAAATAATAAAAAATAACAAGAAATTCCATCGAAGTACAGTCATACAATTGAAATAAACATATTTGTGTTGAGTACCGAATAAAAATTGATCTTTCGACTTTGTATCCTTGAAAAAAGAATAAATTTACATCAAAATGTCATAAAAGTAAAAGAGAACAAAATTTTGTCTTTTCTGGATTGATATCGTTGAACGAACGCGTGTTACATGCAATACACGTGTTCAACATAAATTATATTGAACCATATTCATCAAATCGGATGTAAGTCGCATTACATTTTATGAATAATTTTTATGTCACAATATATTTATTTTCCAGTAAATCTACTTACAAAATATTTTTCTTGAATTTCATTTACCTCGGCATCTTCTGTATTCTCTATTTAAAAAAAGTATTAAAAATTTATATTAAAATAGTCATAAAAATATAAAAACTCATTAATGTGAGCTTACTTATTATGTTTAATCAAGCAGAAAATTTGATAGATTTTCGCGTAATAACATAAAAATATATATATAAAAAGATTTGAAATTTTAGTTCGTGTTTTTCTTTTTTCCTTGAAAAATAAAATTTTAAGAATTCAAGAATTTTAAGTAAATCAATTTAAAACGATATAAATTTTTCTTACAATCAATCAATTCGGAATTTCTTTCAGTAATGCATAATTAATTTTCAATTTGTTTTACTGCTTTCACATTTATTAGTTGATTTCGTAAGGCGGAATGTTATTTATTTTGAAAAAAATAATAATAATCTGTGAATTAATCTAACAAATTCTCAATTTTTATTTTTAGATATTTAAAATGTTTAATTCATTATCTTTGAAATTAATTTCAATTAATTTCAGTTATGAATAAATATCAAATGCAGCCGTTTTAAACAATGTTGAATGAATTTAATGATTGAAAATGTTGATTTAAATGCGTTTAAATCAACATTTTCAAACAATAAATTTTTAAATTTAAATTCTAATATTTAATAAAATTATTTAATTTATTTTCAAATTTTTAAAGAAACAAACTTAGAAAATTTTAAGTATAATTAAATATTATCTTGAGAAATAACTAAGACGAACATTTTTAACTCCAGTCTAATTATTAATTAATTTGGTTTTAATTACTGTTCTAAAATTAATAATTTAAAATATTTCTAATTGAAATAAATCAATTGTTTGTTTGAAAATCGAAAGTTATTATTATTATTATTATTATTTTGATTTTTTCCAGAATGAAAATTTAAAAAAAAATTTAAATGATTTAAGTAGATTTTTATACTTAACAAAAAAGAATTGCAGAATCACTTTCAAGCAAACTACTTTCATACAAAATATTATTTAATCTTTAATTAGTAGCCTATAGAAAAATAAAAATATTATATAATTTAACTCAATTTATAAAAATTTATTTGCTACGGTAAAATAAAAAAAATTCTACCCAAGAATTCTAAAGTACATTCGAAAATATATTTCTTATATAAGCTTTATTAGATTTTAATGTAATTTTTTTAAAATTTATGATAAAAAATCAAATTTTAAAAGCCTTGAAATTAATATGATAAATGTGAAATATGTTTTTAAACGTACAGTATCCACTAAGCACTCAAATATTTGTTATCAAATAGTGGATATGTAAGGAAACAATCATTTTACTAGATAAATAAACCATTTAATAATGGATTATCATTTAAAATAAATCACTTCTTTATGTCATACTTCAAATGTCTGTCATCATTATACGTATCTTTTCTTCTTGAAATCGTTATTTCCTTTTTTCTGTCCTACATTATATCAATGTCTCTTGGTTTGAGTAGAAACATTAATGTTTTTGTTATTTATATAAATTTTGATTTTCTCTAACAAATGATTTATTAATTTAAATGTTATATTAAATCTTATCAACTTAATAAATTATCTTATTTGCGTTTTTTCCTTTGATGTTTGTAATATAAATACGTATAAAGTAGTAGTGTATTATTAATCACTTTCAAGTTAATAAGTTATAATTCTAGAACACAAACGTCAATTGCAACCTCGTTATTTTTTTCTATCTCTTAAATATTAATCTGATTTAATTTAGATATAAATCTAGCTCTTGGAAATCGAAGTTTTTAAGTTTTCTGACGATAAAAAGTGTTTTAAATTTGCTTAATTTATCAAATATATTTCATAATTAATTAAGTAAAACATTCATTGTCTACGAAGTTTGTATAAAATTTATAAGCAACTTATAGACAGTAGGAATTGTCTAGAGTACGGATCTCACAGGGTCCCTTAAATCGATTTGCGAATTCACATATAAATAAACCAAATTTTAAGTGTAAAGTGAACAATGTGAACATAGTAACATTCGGAGCTTCTCCAACAGAGTCCAGCGGTAAATATAACAAAAATAATATTATTGACTTGTTTTGTGGTTCGGATCTCACCTTTTGCCTAAGGCCTGAAATTTCTTTTATCTTTCATAGTATAAGATATTTTTCGTTTATCTTTGTGTAGGAATCTTTTATAATATTCTAATTTAAAATTCAATAAAAATTATAATGCATAACATATGTAAAATGATATAATTTGAATAATTTTATTTTTTCCGAGAAGAAACGTCTATCGATTTGCAAAATAAAAAATTATTTTATTACTTTAGAATGTAGAAATATCTTTATACAGATATCTAGAATTATATTACATAGAGATATCGTCTATGTATCTTATGACAAAATCAATTCTTTTTTTATTTTTTAATTTTAATCTTCCGTTTTTTGAATTATAAGTAGAAAGCATATTGTT